TCCTTCAGAAATCATTCTAATATGCTGATTTAGTGCTCAAGAATCATTTCTTATAATCAATATTGAAAACAGAACGGTGTGCTGCTTAATATTTTTTGTGGAAACTGTAATACTTGTTTTTTTTTTAAGATCAGCATTTATTTGGAATAGAAATCTCTAAAACATTCTAAATGCCTTTCCTGTTGCTTTTGATCAATTTAATGTGTCCTTGCTGAATAAAAGTATTAATGGTAAACCGGTCATGCAAATGTTTTTTTTTTATATATACCCCTTTTGATGCTATACTGTATATGCTAGGGTTTTATAAGGATTTTTGGGATACTTGTCAAAGCGGCGCATATGCATGCTTCTAATGGAAAACTCAGTTCATTTATCGTTTGTGGGCCTTTTGGACAATGATAAACAGCCCGAGCCTTCAGTTTTATGATATATGTAGTTCAGTTGAAAGAAAGAATGCACACTGCAGCATGAGGCTGCCACCTTCAGTCTAGTTTAAGATACTTCTCTATAGTTAAATGTCCTGTCTCAGGGACTTTATAAAGACTAACTGTACTGCTTTTTCCTCAGGTACGTGACGAGCGAAACATGCTCAAAGTCAACACTCGTATCCAAAGGGTTGTGATGATATTCAGACTGTTGCTCGACCAGTTCTCTGTTCTGGAAACCATGACTGCCTTAGACTTCTACGACTTCAGGTAAGGTTTATATATTTCTCATTATGACAATGAAAAGCAATTCCTGAAAACAAGTTTTACATTTCCTATAACAGCACTGGTTGAGCAAAATTGCTGTTGGAAATGTACTAACACTCAAGAGACTGGATATAGCTAACTCAGTAAATAAGCATTAGATGGCACTAATTTGTTAAATCAAAGTCAATGGCAGTTTAGCATAATTGTATTTAGCTGGATTGATCTGTGTGTTTTTGTGCACAGGGAATATCTCGCGCCGGCTTCGGGCTTCCAGAGTCTGCAGTTTCGACTGCTGGAAAACAAGATTGGGGTCCCACAAAACCAGAGGGTCCCCTACAACAGAAGGCATTACCGGGATAATTTCCGTGACCAGGAAAATGAGCTGCTCCTCCACTCAGAGCAGGAGCCCACGCTTCTTCAGTTAGTGGAGGTAAACCTGGGAAATCACATTATAAGATCAGCCATGAATACTGTATTAATCAACGTAATCGGGGAAATTCAACACTTACTGGACTTCTTTGTGGGTTATTGGTATTCAGAGAGGAATAGTGGTTACATGGACAATTTATATATCAAGTCAGGATTAATCTGGCGTTTAACATTTCTCATAAGCAATCAATACTTTTCAGCAATGGCTGGAGAGAACGCCTGGTTTGGAGGAAGATGGCTTCAATTTTGGGGGGAAACTGGAAGCCAATATTTTCGAGGGGCTCAGGAGAGAGAAAGAAAATATAGAGGTTTGTGGAGGATCCCTGGATAATTCTGTGCAGTTCTCAAATCGAAGTTTTAAGTGATAACTCATGTTTCTTCTTAATAGCAAAAACCAGCCTCGGAGATGAAAGAGGAGATGATGGCCGAGCTCATTAAGCAGAAAGATATTTTCTCATCGCTCTTTGATGAGAGAAGACATGATCACTTACTAAGCACCGGTCAGCAAACCTCTCGTGTGTACAGTGTCAATGTCAAGTGCCACATCCACTAGCAGTTACAGTGGGATATGTTGTTCTGTCTGTGCAGGACAGAGGAGGCTGTCCTATAAAGCACTGCAGGGAGCCCTGATGATATACTTCTACAGGTACGTCTAAGAGGACCTGCTAATTTAGTACTAAGATGCTGTTCTATCCAAAAAGAGATCGATTCAACTTCAAAGTAAATGTTATGTTGTATACACAATCATTCAATACTTGAATTTATTTGATCAAAAATACAGTAATTTAAAATAACAATTGCATATATTTGAAAATGTATTTTTTTTTCCTGATGTATGTCAAAGCTGAATTTTCAGCATTATTACTCCAGTCTTCAGTGTCACTAGCCTGGTTAAAACCAGACCATTCTCAGTTGTAACTGAGTTATGGTCTGGCAAAGCGTCATAGACAAATCATTTCCAGAGGGGCGTCACCAACGGAGGTCGCGGATAGACCTAAACCCAATCAGAGCGATGAAGGAGATGACGTATGCAGAGCGGCGGAGAAACATTGTGAAATACTCTGTGTTTCTCTGAGTGTTGTTCTTTGCTCGGTTTTTAACAAAAAGGAAACGTTCAAATCGCTTAAAACAGACGCGATTCGAACGATCGCTGATTCGAACGAGTGGTGTTCGACGGCGGCATCCATCTTGTAATGTAGGCTACAAAATCTGCTTCAAAATCCCAGCGCTGTCGTCATCGTGTAAAGCCCGCCCCAACGTTTTTGATTGGTGCCGCGATTTCGACGGATTGGAAATGGGCTTGAATGAGCTCTTTGCCAGACTAACTTTCAGAGCAAATCTAAATTTGCCGGAAGTTGTCTGGGTTTTCACAGGCTACAGTGTCACATGATCCTTCAGAAATCATTCTAATATGCTGATTTGATGCCCAAGAAACATTTCAGATTATTGTAAATGTTACAAATGTTCCTTAATATTTACAAATATTCTTTCAAAACCAGATCTGGTACAGTGATGGTATCGGATAAGTAATCAGTAATAACATGGTATTTATTGATATATTTCTTGATGTCATTGTATTTAATTATATATATATATATATATATATAGAGAGAGAGATTATCCAATGGTACTTCAAAGAATACCATGGTTCATTTCCTTTTGATCGCTTGATGAAGAACAAAAATCTACTCACCAACTTCTCACCGTCTGTTCTCAGAGAAGAGCCTCGATTTCAGGTTCCTTTCCAACTCCTGACATCATTGATGGACATCGACACCCTCATGACAAAATGGAGATGTATGTGACACCTCTGAAAACAGCTTTAGAACTGCAAATAAATCTGACCTTAAACACCCTGTAGGGCAAAGCCTCTTAGAAGCGTGTCAACACTGAACAAAAGGTTTTCTTCTGCATATCAATAATGCATTCATTTTTTACTTCCTGCATAATTTATACCCGAATTTCCCCCTAGACAACCACGTGTGTATGGTGCACAGGATGATTGGCAGTAAAGGCGGCACAGGAGGCTCTTCAGGCTATCAGTACCTGCGCTCCACTGTCAGGTAGGCCAAATAATCTGGGACAAATCCAGATGAAGCACTCTGCATCTGCTGGAATTATCCATGTGAAACATAATGCTAAATGAAATGTGAATTGGCAGCAATATGCAAGCCATCTCCTGGAGACGAACCACTCAAACACAAGTATAGCCTATGTATTGATATGCCTATTCATGAACCTGACTATGTTCTGCCAGTGATCGCTACAAGGTGTTTGTGGATCTGTTTAACCTGGCCACTTTCCTGGTTCCGAGGGAGTGGGTACCTAAGCTGGACCCGAGTGAGCACAGCTTCCTGTACACGGCCGAATGCTGCGACAGCTCCTACTGCAGCAGTGATGACTCAGACTAAACAGATGGAGGATGAGGGAAGGATGAACAGCATTTACAGAGTACAGAAGAAGAAAAAGCTTCAAACCTCACAAGTCTCCCATCACCAACGTTTGTCACTAAAGTCTTTTTAAATGTTAGAATGAGAGGCTACAAAGCTGTGCTGATTTTACAGGTGTTCACAAACGGAATTGTAAGACAGCGTCAACAAAAATAAAATCAGTGACGCTGTTATTGCACTTGTTTATATACTGTCAATATAATGTAATATTCTAACATCTGTGATGCGATCTGGCAAAACCTGTCAGATGTCGCGCTGGTAACTTACGTTTTCAGTATGGTGGCAAGCTGAAAAGACCCGATAGCACACGCACATCACAGAGATGTCTATTTGATGTGTGTGTTTACATCTGGAAGATATATTTTTTAGAGTGTTTGCTCATCTGCAATACGCCTATAGGACGTTTCCTGTCAGATGTCAAATAGACGTTTAGAAGATGTCTTTACGATGTAATGATTTAGAATGTATGTTAAACTGATATCTTAAAGATGTCTATCAGATGTTAGTAAACAGATGAAGTGATCTTTAACAGACATCTTGCAGACGTAAGTGTGTGCTATCTGAACACGTACTGCGGAGGTGAGAAAAAAACCCACTACAAAGGCAGTTCACCTATCAAAATAAACCATATAACATCTAGAATAAAGGTATATCAATGCACTTTTCCCGCCAGTCCTGTGTAAACTACAGCTGCACGCAAGTTTTTTTTTTTAATCCAACGCTATATCGTGAGATGCGGAGCGTAAGAGAACAACGGAATCTGAAGTAGCTCGCTTAAAAGATCTTGCTCGCCTCTCAATCGTCCAATTTCAAAACGGTTTTCACAGAATGAATTTTGAGTTCGTAAGCTTTTGAATGATACCTAATCTATGATGATTACTAAAATATGTAATATGAAAAAAGTCAATAAAAAAGAGCGCCAATCGTCCCACTAGCAGCAGTGACAGTTAATTAAACCTGTTTTTCCTCAAAATTCCGTTCCTGAAAATCATAGCGATCAGCCGACGTGATAACCATAACTTTTGTTACCGACAAACGATGAAAGAAATAAAAACAGATTTATGGTATCAAAACCTGTAATAATTAAATTTTCATCATGTGATGGTTTTTCCCAGATCGCATCACATATGTGTAGTTAACTGATTTATATTTTGTAAATAAAGAGCATACACATACAGATATTATGATATTTCTTGTTTATTTGGAAAAAATAGACGTTTTCTGTCAAAATGTGTACTTGAATAGTATACAAGTTTATTTAATATCAGTAAACATGTCAGATTATTCATAAAATGCAACCACAATTGCTAAAAACAATAAAAAGTAAACTTTGGTTAACACTCTATTGTAGTTTCCTTGTAACACATCTTACATTTATTTACTATAGTAATAGTAACAGCAAATTATACATAATTACAAGCAACTAACCCTAAACCTAACCCTAAATATAGGTGTTAAATTAATATTACTCAGTACTTATTTACTGTAACAAGGACACCTTATTAAAGTGTAACCAAGTTTGTAGTTACAAATGTGTATAAAAGCAGATCAATTCTAAATATCTAGTACATAATGTACTGTAGTGATAATCACTTACAGATTAAAGGCTGTAATTAGTATTCACAAAATATAATACAAATGTTCACATTTTTCTCAGATGAGTTCACTTGTGTGTCCAACCTCAGTGCAATGTCACAATACAGTAAGCGTTCAGTTCAGTTGTGTACTTATACTTACTAACAGTGTTTTCTGAAGATTAAAACATTCTTAAAGACAGATCTAGCTAGTGTGCGTTTCGTAACTAAAACAAAATCCAGCTCGGACTCATTATTTTGGGCTACAGTGACTGGGATTAGGAATATGATGTATTAGCTCAAATAGCAGCGTACTTGCTCTGCATTCGCGAGGCAACAGGATTTGTTACTTGAGAATTTTTACAGTCTCCTCATCAGCTACACAGGAGGATTTCCGTCCTGAGGCTGATATTTTAAAATGGTGATCTGCCACGGTCTTATCACGGAAGTACAAAAGATTATTGACAATTACACAAAAACAGCAGCAACATTGTCAGCAATTCCTAGAAAAAAGAAAAAAAAAAGAAAAAAAGAGTGGCTGTTGATTCTCATCTGACATTGCGTAAAGTCAAAGTAATTGACAAAAGATCACAATCGAAAAATAAGCTCACTACATCATTTACAAATGATCTGATATGAATTAAAACTAGGAATTTATGATTGTATTTTTACATTGCAGACAGTTTTGAGTGTTTGCCAACGTCCAACACTTCATGAATATTTATGAATGCACACAATGTCTCCCTGCAGCAGGATGCATTGTGTTTATTACTTGTCTGGGAAACTGTCAACAAAGTAAAAAAGCATTAAAAGTGGGTCATACACAAACCTACCACACATGTTGTTCCCTATTTTGATGTAAACATATCCATTATCGCCCCATGAGGTCCCCCATGAATTGCGTACTATCCAGTATGGCACTTCCCCTGTGATAAAATATGAAGACATATCAGAGATAATACACCTGAGATGGAAAATGATTAATTACAAAAAAGTCATAATACATAGCATACACTTATAATGGTATGGAAACAAAAGTTTTTTTCATTTATATCCAAAATAACCCAAAAAGCAACTGATTAACTGCAATAACGCTCATGTATTGTTTGCAGTTTTAAGTTACGGTACTTTAAGTACACATTTGTACGGAGCCCATAAAGTGACATGGTGATGGGGAAAAAATATGAGATGGGAAGAAAAAATTTATGTTGCAAATATTTCGCAAAAGAACGAAAGAGTTTTGCAAGCGAACGCAAACTTTCTCAGGGGAACGCAAATGTTTTGAAATAAAATGGTTCATCCCATCTCATATTTGTTCGTATCACCGTGTCTCTTTAGTGGGCTTCATACATTCGTACTGTCAACATAATGTACTGTAATGTTCTAACATATGTGCTGATTTATATTTGTAAATAAGAGTATACACAAAAAGTATACAGATATAAAGATGTGTTTATTTAAAAATTAGACCCTGTTTTCTGTCAAACTGTGTAATTAATATGGATCTATTTATTTTTAGTAATAACATTATTATTATATCCAAACTAATCCAAAAAGCATCTCACTAGTATTACATATTTGACAAACTGATTAATTACAATAACGTTCATGTATTGTTTGCAGTTTTAAGCTAATGGTGCATCAATTTCTCTACTTTACACTGCAAGTACTTAATTCAAACTAGTAAACAAACAGGAGAAAACAAATCAAAGGAGTGTATAAACGCCGCGGACAGCTTGCTGATTATACCGCAGACACATCAGGCAGTTTTCTGGGATGTTGGCACACAGCCAGTATTTGCCAGTGTCGGCTCAACTGTGTGCCCTTGACAGGACGTAATCCGTGAAGGCCAGCGCTCTGAACCTTTATATGCTCTGAGGCACAAGTAAAGAGAGTTTAACCGCCCGTGCCTGTGTGAGTGTGTGTGTGTGTGTACCTGTGGTATCATAACCGGTGATCAGTACGGCATGGTTGGCATTGTGGCTGGAGCAGTGGTGCTGAATGATGCCGCCCATGTAATCCTGCCAGCTGATGGCATCCACAATGACCACAAGAGGCCCGGACTCCACCAGGACACTCATCATCACCTCCTCATGTACACTAGAACAACATATCAATCCCAATGTATACAGTACTTACTAGGTTTACTTAGTTCAGACGTTACATTGCAGAATATGGGTAATGATAAATCCATCCATCCAAATTGTACAGCATTTATTTAAAACAGATTTTTTTTTTGTCTTTACTGTTACTTTTGAACACTTTAATGCATTCATGAGATTTCCCTGCAGGCTGTGACAGAAATGGAAACCATGCAACCAGTAAAACGGTTGACCCAGTTGGTTAGGACAGAAATCATGTCATGTCACAGAAAGAACACAATGTAAGACAGTGACATCTGACATAAATGTTAACACCGAAACGCAGGTCAGAAGTGCTGCGTTTGTTTTTTGACCAGCTGTATGTGAGCTTAGTGAGTGTACAGTCAGTGACCCCGAGTAGCAAACAGAGTTGACAAGAACAGATGAGTAAACAAAAAACATTGGCCCACATCCCAACAAACTTCAACCTTAAATGATTTAATTGTACACGAGGTCTACACTGCGCTTAATGCACTGGCACAGCTGACCGTTGATGTAAAGCTCAAGGTATCTGCACGCTGCATCTATTACCTGAAGTCATAAGCGGAGTAATTCCTCACCATCACTCCATCATGAGAACGAGGAAAGTACTGGCAGCTTCCAGCTACGGCTTTGAAGGGATACACCGCCTGATTCACTAACTTCAATTTGGTCTGAAATAAAACGGACATACAAAGGAGGATATTAGATGCGCCAGTTATGGAACTTCTGGGAGGATAACAGACATATTTAATTAGCAGCTTGTTGTGGATGATACCGACAACTTTTTTAACCCTCAGAAATGGAGCGGCTAGCTAATTAATTACACCCTTATTAAAATCCTAATTAAAATGCTTGTTACAAAAACAAACAAAACAGATGTCATTTAAAAGCTTAGAACTTCACAATACATTTCAGCACTTTTACCAACTTAATTACTGCTTTTCATCAGCTGTAAAATTATGTTTTGTTTGCTAAATTTAGGGAATATGATCCAAATGACAATATAACTACTAAAACGTTTGGATAGCCTTGTTACACAAAGTTCAGGGCAATAACTTTTTTAAATGATTTTGAAAGAAGTCTCTTATGCTCACCAAGGCTGAATATATTTGACCAAAATTACAGAAAAAAAACGAAATATTGAGAAATATTATTACAATTTAAATGAACTGCTTTAATATATTTTAAAATGTAATCCTCGCATAACAAACTATTGGTAAAAGGCAGGAGTGTCTAGTCCTGCAGTCCAGAGTGCAGCTCCAACACACATGCCTGGAAGTTTCAGGTAATTCTGAAGACTTTGATGGTCTTAGCTGGTTAAGGTGTGTTTAATTAGGACTGGACTGGAGCTGAACTCTGCAGGAGACTGGCCCGCAAGGAGCAGGATCCGACACCATTGGTTAAAGCAATTAAAATGAATGGTAGTTGAATACACTATTATTATCAATTTAAATAATACAATTTCCCCAGTTACATCATCATGAGAAAAAGAGACAGATGACAGCACCTGTATGAGCCAGTACAGAGCTTCAACAGGGGATCCACCATTACAGCCATAGTTTTCATAAGAGCAGTCTATAACCTGCTGCACACTGAGCTGCTGTAGTTTTCCACCATCTTTAGCTGACACGGATTCAATGGCCTCCACCACACTGAAGGCCCAGCAACCTCCACACTGCAAGAAAGAGCAAAAAGAAATGCGGACTAAACATAAAAAAGTCATATGTTCTGAGTCTTTGAGTATATGCATGAGTGAAAAAATGTGAAGTTCAGATCTAAAGTCGTCACGGAACAGAACCTCCCTGTTGTGACGTATGTCCAAGTGGAAAAGCTTCTCAAATAATATAGGGTGGGACTTGATATTGTCCATGTGTAATTGATTGGATGGTTGTGGTTTGCTATTGCTGTGATCTCATGTGAGTGACAGGTTGATCCCGCCCTCATGCCAGGAAACACATCATCAGAGAATAGAAGAGATGCCATTGCATAAGGGAGGGGAAGTTACTTTAATTAAAGATTATGAGTGCATGAATTAAAATAATAATAATAATGATGGGCACAGATAAATAATTTATAACAAATACTGCAATATTGCCTAAAAAATAAAAATTGTCAATTTGGATTTCATGGTGACTTTAACATCTAAACCCTACCGACTCCTGGTTTCGTACTGGTCCGACAACTCCATGGTCCCTCCAATCAAACCTGGGTGGATAATTCGTCTTAATTTGAAATCCAGCCCTAGATGGGTCAAACTTTGGAGCCGTCTCAGCCCAAGCTGTGAGATATCGCTCTGACAATCAAATGAGGCAGGTCAGTTGCCATTATATAAAAAGTGAATCCATCTGTAAGCATCCTTATCCTGCATATACTCACCTTTGAATTGTTTCGGAGAGAAGTCAGAGAACTGGTTGATGCCATAACGGGCAGAATGGTTTGATTTCTTCAACTGTGAGTTCAGAAAGGCTTGTCTCTTGAGGGAACTCTACAATGTGACAAAACAAGACATCACCAAATGTGTCTTTTGCAACAGGTAAGATCTGAATCACATGAGGAAATATATCACATGACAGAATGGAATTACTGGCATTGCCTATATATATATATATATATGTGTGTGTATATATATATATATATATATATATATATATACACACACACACATATACTATAAAACTCAAATTCTAGAGTCTGTATTGAGACATGTTCACTAACTGTAGATTTACTTTATAATTCCAATATTTAAATATATTTAATAATCATGTCTAGTTATTGGCTGCCTTCAAAAACGAGTAAGTTAAGCTGCCTACCTAGACAGCATTTCTGGGCATCCAAGGGGCATTAAGCTGTATTTGTGAGAGATTCCTCATCTTATGTTGCCTGAAAATACTCTCTAGTTAGACAGCTCACTAGGTTATGAGACGCATCCATTGTCTCTTAATCATAGGCAGCGATTGTCGATGGATGAGTTCTTATGATACGGATTTAATGCTGTCGTTGTAATGTGAGAAATTAATGTTAGTCCACTAAATATACCTGGAAATTAATCAGTCTCTGATAGAGTTCCTTGTTTTCATTTTCTCGCTGAAAAGTCATCAGTCGTTCTTCGTCCAGATATTTCCTACTTAGTTCGACGCTGATGGATCCCGTGAGCAGTTCATAGTAAATTATCAAAACAACAAATATTAAAGTAAACGCCATTTCAACTGAACCATAAACAAACGTTTAACAAAGCCTCCAGTAACGTTACTCTTTAGCAACTTTCACTTCTGCTGTAGATAGTTTCCTGCAGCAGAAGTAGAGCAGAGCGCTCTATCGCCCTCTAGCGGCTGATGAAAACATTACCTGAGATCGCCCTCTTACAAATCTATGGTTGCGGACTTGCGGGACACAGACAGGCTCTTGAAATGTAAAACGGAACCAAAGCACTGAAGGAATCACAGACGAAAAGGCTAGACACTAAACTCTTAAATGCATTGTATTAGATGAATTTAATACAATAGCGTTTATGAGGCGTCTAATTATATATTCAAAATAAATTCTTTTTTTTCTTAATGCTTTCCATGAAATTAAAAGGTCACACACTTAATGTTGCCCATGTAACTCAGTTATTATAAAAGTAAGTACTATGTGATGGCATAATGAATGATATATTCTCCTGATGTAATTATTTTCTGAAGCTGCCTGTAATTAGGCCTATTAAAGTGATTTAGTAACATGTAACATTTTTTTTATTCTACCACTGCTATAAATAATAATAATAACAATAATAATAATAATTCATCTTAAGTGTTCCTAAATAAAAATCTACTTCACTCTTCTTTCTCGTTTGTTCTGGGTATTTAAACTCCAAAGAGGACAGGACCCACAATCCAGACTTGAGCTCAAATAGCACCAGTTAAGCTCATTTATACATCCATCCATGACAGTGTTCTTATTGTTAACTAAAAATAAAACAAGCTTTTCATTATGAAGCTGAAATATAATAAGAAAAATACATATTAGATGAGAATTTTTGCCTTGGCAACTAACTGAAGTAAAAAAAAGTTGAAGTACTAAACTTAATTAAGCTTAAACTAGATTAAAAGGAGCTGAATATACATATTTAGAATATAATAAAATGACAAAAGCACATTAAATTACTACAACTGAAACTAAAATGAAAACTGAAAATAAAGCAAATATAAACAATTAATAAATACTATAATAATGTATTAAACAATATAACACTGATCCATGTTGTATTTAGTTTAAAGCTCACCCAAAGAAAGACAGCAGTATAGGCAATTATGACAAGTTTAATGCTGAGGCAGTATGTAACATATAGCCCATTATCATGACCCACATAAAGAAGAGCCGTTACTCACTGAGTGTCTCAGAGTAGAGCTTCTGCCCTGTCCTGACTGCAACTATATGACATAAAACAAATCTGAAGCAGAATCAACATGAAGATTTCTGTGAATGCAGCCCATTATGGTCACAATGCCATCCCCCGAAAACGAGAACACAAAAAAGACAGACACGGACAAGATCCGATCCAGGAAAGACAAATTGAGAGAGAGAGAGATATATATATATACTGTATGAATTCTAATATGCAAATACTATATATATATATATATTTATTTATTAGGTCCCCTTGCTTGGAACTGATTAGTATTCACTGAAGGTATTCCATAGGATTTTCTTTAAATACATGTTTCAAACATTTTCATTCTATGTACACAGAAATACTGTATATTTCTACGAGGAAGTAACGGTGATTTGTCGAGGATTTTCGAGTGCTAACAGGCCAGCACTATATGTGAAGCTGCAGCATTTGAGCATATGAAAGACGATTTGGTTTGCATCTGAGACACTGTTTAGCTACAAAGATGCAAAGCACTGAGAGATGCAAAGCAGACAGCTCTTCTATAAAGGCTCAGTTTCCAAGCCTGCTTTCACGACTGTCCTCAAGAGAGTTTTCCCCATCTGGAACAATAATAAGCATTGGAACGTAAAAACGGTCAGCAAATTACATACATGAGACAACAGCTGAGACGACATTTGGGGCTACCAGAGAAATGAACAATAAAAGAGGTACTTCCCAAAGCCGTCTGTGAAAAGATGTCATTTGAAATAGTCTCTCAAAAAGTATAAGAGAAAAATAAGTGTAAAAGTGTGAGGCTGATGATGGTGCAATAGTCCAATCACATCCGCTTGAGGCGACCGATCATTCTACAGTGGTAGAGTTTATCGCCAGAGTCAGTGTGTTCACTGTCAATACTCCATTTCACACTCATAAAGGTTGATCCCCATAGTCTGGGGTCGGGGAGGACGATGGAGGAATGGACTTGAGGTGGAGGAGATGCATGTCCTCAGGATTTGTTGTTGGTGTCGTACATGTCCAGTGATGCCTGGATGTCTGGAAGCTCCATTTCATAATCTACACTGCGCGGAGACACAGAATTACGGTTGAAGAAATGACCACCTGCAAACAGACAAACAACAAAAATGATGGGGTTTAATCGTAGTTTTTGTGTACAACAGGGAGATAAAAATGAGAAAGATGAAAGGAGGAATGATTCTGCAGAATGTTAATAAAATATATTCAGGATTCTGCTCCTGCAGACTGAACATACTTATTTACCTTCCCGCATAAAGGTTGTGCTCAAATCTGACATTTCATCTCAGCACAAAATCAATGTCGTCCGTTACGGGCAATCAACACTTATTATGTCCTTGACACTGGACAAGTTACCATCAACCTTCTCAGTGGAAGTCAGTTCTTTATGGAAGAGTTTGTGATCATACAGCTCCTTGATTTAAGTGGATTTTATGGGCATGTATATTTTATAGGTCTACGTTTTTCTATTTTATTTATATTATGTCCAGTAGACTAGATTGCAATTATTGAACTGCATGAACTGTTAACACAAATGTATGTATGCGCCGTTCCATTCAATTATGCATTATTAAACAGTATTTAATTATACACAGTATGAGTATAAAAATAATGCAACAGTAGATAGGTAAATAAAAACCTTACTGATTTACTTAAAATAACACTGCAATGTCTGAAAATTCACGGTGTCAAAGGTACATTGTCATTTTTATGTTCAAAATTGCCAAAATTTAAATTCAATACAATACACCATCAATCCTACTTTCAAAAACGTGTTTTTGTCTTGCCCTGATTCACTATGGTGCAGTTTTTTTTTTTTTTTTTTTTTTTACCACCAGAGGGCCAAAAGTTACATAATGTACCTTTAAATTGTATTCAAACGACTGCAGACTTAAAGACAGGGGCCTAATTATGTATACATTAACAACAATGAAGCAAAATATGCTTAACTCCAGCAAGTAATCCTTTATTAGCTTGTTCAGATGTTTTTAGGTTTCCAACTTAAACTGGCCCTCCAGGACTGGAGCCGAAGAGGACAGGACTCGATACCTGACCTTGAGTTGCACAATCTCTATCCTCATGCATTAAAGGTTAGGCTTATTACAAAACACAACCTGTCCTCATAGATATGTTACAGTATTTTTAGTGCTCTTAGCTTGACGTTCTGTAAGGAAGTGCTGAAATAAACTTTACAGCTAGAATATGCTGCAGCAAATCAATACTGTATGTCTAATAGACATGGCTCGTCTGCAAGTAAACAATTGATTCAGGAGTCTCACCATGGTAAACTGAGGGAGACCGAAGCATCAAAACAGTATCAAGGAATAAAACTAGTACTAGTAACTACTAACTTACTGGACAATTCAGCACAACAAAGCTGTTTGCACAAAGCAATTTTAATACACACACAAATGTCTTTGAACAATTTGTTTACATGACAAAGATAAACCAAAGTATTTAAAAAAAAAAAACACACATTTAAAACACATTTAACATTACTATGTATTTAACATATTTCTATTCATTTAACATTTAACACTATTCATCTAAAATAAAAACAAAAAGAGCTTATTAAATAAAGCAATTGCGTAAAACAGACGTTAATCAGCAATATAATCCGGTGAAAACCTATGAACATCCTCACATCTACAGAGGTGAAAGTTAGCTCTATTAACACTAACTCTGCATGTGTTTGAGGTGGACTTGAAGTGCAATCAGCAACTTTGCTTTTCAGGATGCATTTCTATTTTAGAATTCAGGACTCCAGAAAACATCTTCATTCCAACTTAAGGCTGTAAAAGATAAATATACATAGTAAAAAACAAAAACAAAGCAACCTCATTATGTTTAGGAAATATATAACATGTACCTAAATAAATTGATTATAAAATAATGATTTGATCAATCTCATTTAAAGACTTTTAGCCTGCATAACACTATGACTCTTAGAGAAGTGTAGTACACTGATGTCACAAATCTTGATGGACAGTAGGTACATTTCCTCTTTGTTAATGTATTTAGGGATGCTAGGACATTCTGAAAGTCTTGAAAAAGATCTACAATACTCACTCATCGGTGGGGGTGCTGGCAGTGGCTCTGATGATCATGTAACAAAGTGTGAGAGCAGAGAGGACGCTGAAGCTGGCAACAATAAACCACTCTTCTGTTAACAGAGTAAAAGGGGGGAGGGGTCATTTTCTGTTGAGGGCGGAGCCAGGGTATCATCTCGACAGAGAGCCAAAGAGAACAGGAAACTGGAGACAGGTGGAGGCGTGAAGAAAAGAGGAACACTTCTCTAATCCATGGAACAAGAGAGGAAGCCATAGGCAAGCGATGATCCGAACACAACAGATAAAAACGAGAGCGAAACAGAATGTAGCACATTCAGAGCACATGATGCTTAGTGCTGGTTTAGCCAGACATTTACAAAGCGGGAAAGATCTGTTAGGAAGACCATGACATTAGAAGATGCAGCAGCAGCTAAGTATTCCACACAGAAGCTGTTTTTTTTTTTTTTTTTTTAAGGACAAATTAAATTAAGGGATTTTTTTTTAGAATTCTGTCAACAAATAGAATTTACATTCAAAATAATCTGTAAAACAGAGACCACTACAATTTTAGAAAGAAAGCAAAAAAAAAAAAAAAAAAAAAAAAAAAACCTAAATAAAATTGCAGAGCTTCAGGCGCTACACCTGCTTGGGGTTCTATTACATAATGCATCACTACAATTCAAATAGAGGCCAACAGGAGGGGTTAAAACTGCTGAACACAATATTTTAAAGACACAGAACCAGGACAAATGGTTGGAAAATAATAAATGATCCCACAAACCCATAATTACCCCACATCTGTTTCTGCAACCAAGTGTAGTTCTGTGAGCATTTACTTATTTTACTTTCTATGCACTTTTCTTTTCTTAAGATTAGTTTCATTGCACTCAACATGTGTGTTGTTAGTGCTCTGAATAACCTGCTTAAAAACGCTGGCCCAATCTATACACTAAAATAACTTCAGAGAAAAGGCAGTTACCGTTACTTATATTTAAAGACAATACTTAAATTTTACTTTTGATGAAGGTCTAAGGTTATTACTAGAGGTGGATGGTATAGCGCAACAATAAACCATTTATTCTAACAATTTATTCTAACAATAAAACTTAGAACTTTTGTCAATCAATATGAATTTAAGGCAAAAGGATCTGTCTTTCTGTTAAAACGTTCTACCATTTTACAAATGTGTGTATTATGACATATAAATATCGACTAAAATGTTAAAGGGGTACTTCACTGCTAGCAAAATGAGCTTTCAATAAAACGTGGCTGCCTACACAGAAGAAAGATTGAAATCAGCTCTACCTGACTAGAGAAAAGAGAAAAAAGGCTGTCGTCTTCCCATTTTCCAAATAGGTAGGAAAACGTCAACACCCATAATGCACTGGGCATGATGCCGTCCAATGCCACTCCCACCAGTCTGCTGTGGATACGCTTACCAGAGTCAAATACCGCCTTGCTTTAGTAGGAAATACTTAGCAAACTTTTAGTCATAATGGTGTCGACTTTTTGTTTCTGGATGCAAGAATTTAAAGAGTAAATGTTTTGAGGGAGGGAGTTACCTTTGGATCATGCGCCTTGTAAGCAGTGGCTAAAGGCTGCAAAGAATCATAAATACGGAAAGAACACTGCGACGGAAAAGCTGAAAAACCTCTGTGTTTGTAGACAACTGGATGACCACGAACAGTTTGAGGCCAAATAGATGGGGAAAAACTGAAAGAAACTTCCGTTCTGTCAGCTCCGCCCAAACCCCCGATGCAAAACGCTGTCACGTATACAGGCGAGAAACCTGTTGCCATAGTTTTCAATTAAACGAGTAAACATTGTTCACTTACATTTATTACCGACACTGTAAAATCGGCAAAGTCACACTTTACGAATATGTAAGCAATAATGTATAGCCAGTTATTATAAAAAAGTGATTTTTTTTTTATGATAACTGGCTGAATGTACATTATCTCACTCATTATAAAATGTTATGTAATTTTGACATTCATTTTATATGTGAGTGATAGGAGAGACCATAGAGTGCTATGACAAACACGCAGTGACGTGAGAAGTCTAGTACAAAACATGTATTGCAGTGAAAGGGCAGGACACGCTGTGGTGGAGCAGAGACACCTGCTGACATCACTGAGCTCAGCCTCAGCAGCAGGTGGAGGGATGCAGTCAGCGCACTGAAGGAAGGAAAGATAACCCCGCTGGGGAGGAAATGAAGGACAACGTGGGAGGGAGGTGAGGAAATAAAGGTGACGGAGAGAAACTTAAAGGGGAAGTGTATGACCTTTTTCACCGTTACAATACTAAAATAATATCCCAGTTTTCTAATATTTCACAAGTCTGTTCGAAAACAACCATTATTTTTGAAATTCAGTTTGGTGATGCAGAAATGACACACTTCCCCTTTAAAGAACTTCCAGAAATGACAAATTAAGACAAAATAAGCCTTGATCTTACTAGTGACAGCGATGTTGATCTCTCCGGAGCGAGGAATGAGCTCTTCGTCGGAGGGAAGCTGGGAGGAACTGGAGTGGTGTAGAGGCTCCAGGCTGATGCTGGTCTCAGAGGACAGGTCCACCAGCGCCGTCCTCTGGCTGGAAGTCTGACTGCGGGACATTCGGTCCATGTCAAAAGCCATGTTGTCCACGCAGGGCAGGTTGGGCTGCAAGGGCATACATGTCTTAGTCAAATTATATTAACAAATCACAGCCCAAGATAAAAAAAAAGAAGAAGTAAAAAAGGTAAGATTTACAGCATTGAATATCAGCCATGACATGAAAAATTGCATGAAATGACTAAAGTAACCACCAGAGGGAGCTACTGGATCATAAATCCTCTGCAAAATCAAGATTACAGCACAAATTACATTATAATGTGTAAAGTTGTAACCAGAAACACATCTTCTGTTTGTCATTTTTTACATTTACATTTATTCATTTAGCTGACGCTTTTATCCAAAGCGACTTACAATTGCTATATATGTCAGAGGTCGCACGCCTCTGGAGCAACTAGGGGTTAAGTGTCTTGCTCAGGGACACATTGGTGTCTCACAGTGGATTCGAACCGGGGTCTCACACACCAAAGGCATGTGTCTTATCCACTGCGCCATCACCACCCCCCTGGAGAGAAACTTAAAGTGGAAGTGTATGACCTTTTTCACCGTTACAATACTAAAATAATATCCCAGTTTTCTAATATTTCACAAGTCTGTTCGAAAAGTAATACAGTACAGTAATATCTTTACATTCTCAGTTCTGTAATAATTCTGGCAATCCATCCCAAACAAACTACAGGACCTGATGTTATTTTCAAGAGATAAATCATAATAGAATCATAACAAATCAAATAAGAGCCTTATAAAAGTCATAACCTGCTACCCTCTGAGATCAATGTGTCTGTTGTGTACACTTAGTTGCACATTTTGTGGAAAATTGTTCCCAGAAGATAGCTCTATTGTTACAAAACCTGTTTGTTGATTTTTTTTTTTACGAGATGTCTTCGGAAGGGTGTGTGTGTGTGTGTGTGTGTGTGTGCTCACCATAACCCCCAGAGCTTTAAGGATGTTGAGTTTACACATGGGACAGGTGCAGTGCTCATTTAGCCATGGATCCACACACATTTTATGGAAGACATGCCTAAAGAAGAGATGAAAACATTTTGATAGCCATAAATAAAGCAGTGTAATACATTTGGTTGCAACAACATAAATATGCATGAATAAAATCTTTCTAATCTCTCTATTGCTATTATTATAATAATTCGTTACATTTATTTTCTGGGTACTCAAAGCGCTTTACAGAATGGGGAATCTCCTCATCCACCCGGATAATGCGACGGCAACCATAGAGCGCCAGAACGCCTACAGTACCACACACCAGCTTATTAGTGGAGAGGAGACAGAGTGATGAAGCCAATCAGTATATATGGGGATGATTAAGAGGCCATGAAGATGGACAGAGACCACTGGGCAAATTTGGGGGTTTTAATGACCACAGAGAGTCAGGACCTCGGTTTAACATCTCATCCAAAGGACGGTGCTCTTTGACAGTATAGTGTCCCTGTCACTATACTGGGGCGTTAGGACCCACACAGACCACAGGGTGAGCAGCGCTCCCTACTGGCCTCACTAAAACCTCTTCCAGCAGCAACCTAGTTTTCCCATGAGGTCTCCCATCCAGGTACTATCCAGGCTCAACCCTGCTTAGCTTCAGTGGGCGACCAGTCTTTGGCTACAGGGTGATATGGCTGCTGGATTATAACAATGCAAGACCATGAAATGCAGCATCAAGCCTTTGATATCACCATAATTCTTCGCAGCAAAGATGAATATTTGAAACTGCTCTAAGAACACTGGTGCAAGAAGGACATTACACGTAAAAGCACATTACCCATTTATATTACAACCAGAGAGAGGAGAGAGAGAGGCAGATTAAAAGCAAGAAGCTGGTGGACTTCAAAGCAGCAACATGAGCTTTCACAGAGAGCTGTTGAGTCTCTTCTCCTCCTCATATCCGGCTGCTGCACAATCTGAGCTGTGTTTACTCCAGGAAAGACCCTGGGCTCTCGACAGCGGAAACCCTCTTCTTGAGGGAGATTCTCGGCACAAGCCAGCCATTGAAACTCGTGCTAGAGACAAGGCAGTTATTGTGGCTCAAAAGATTCTAGGAATCTTTCTCACTGCATCATTGGGTAAATTATATCTAAAATGATGCTTAAAAGTTCTTACATTTTTAATCATTGTCATTTATATACACACATGCAACAATGCATAGTAATAAACAGCATTGTTTAAATGCACACAGATTTTTGAAACAAAACACTTTAAATACATATATAATACAAATTCATTTTATAAATATATAAAAGTTTGGGGTCAGTGCAAAAATATTAAGCAGCACAACTGTTTTAAACACTGATAATAGTAATAAATGTCTCTTGAGCACCAAATCAGCGTATTAGAATGATTTCTGAAGGATCACGGGACACTGAAGACTGGCGTAATGATGCTGAAAATTAGGCTTTGCCATCACAGGAATAAATTACATTTTAAAATGCATTCAAATAGAAAACAGTATAGTTCCAACCAGAATAAAGGCAGGTTCCTCAGCCACAAGTTGTTTCGAAAAAGATTTCCGAACAGAACTACTGGGCAGGAGAGATAGTGGAATACAGCAGCAGCAATACATTTGAGAGGGGTTATCTAAGGATATCAAATAATGCTAAGTGCGTCTTACATACTGTGACTAACGGGTGCTGAGAGGACCCATGCTTCTGAAATTATCCTGCAACAAAGTGACGTGCAAACAAACTCCAACAAAGCTTTATTTTCTTGGATGGAGCACGTGCAAACAAGGGTCAAATTAATTAATAATGAGGGTGCTTACAACACAAATTATACTATAGAGATGCATGCCATCAAACTACAACAGACCAGCTCTATATGTCTGGGCCCAATCTTTATGTACTGTATTCTTTTACAGTTACCATATCACATGCATGTTTACATGCATATGCAGTCAGACAGATCCATGGAGTAAAGGGCACACCCCTAAAAAAGTTACAGAGAAACAGTGAAGCTAATGCACTGGGACGTAAATTGAATGGCCTAGGCTAGGTCAAGTGTACTGCCATTACTTGTGCTATGAGTTATTGATTGTGGTTGGAGATGCTTATGCTTAAGAAAGCAGAGACACTCACATTAAGAAGGAATAAGATAAGATGGCAACTTATGCTCAGAAGTCTCTTATGCTCACCAAGGCTGCAATTATTTGATCAAAAATACAGTAAAAACTGTAGTATTGTAAAATATTATTACAATATAACATTGTTCCTATGATGGTAAAGCTGAATTTTTAGTATCAGTACCCAAGTCTCCAGAATTCTTTGATGTATATTTTTGGAATATTTAGAATTGAATTATATAGTAAGAATAGAAAATATGATAAATATCCAACATACATATTGCAATCAATGATTATGATGTTTCGCTGGGAGTCCCATGAAATCAAATATGAGTTTCTGTTTTCTTTCCCGTGTTGACATATCTAGTATAGAAATAGGAAGATTTTTTATTTTTTTCTATAGCCAATAGGCTTTTGTTTATATATTTTGCCACCTTTTGGGAGTGTGTTAGCTTATACATGACCTGAAAGCGAACAGAAATGGACTAAAAGTTTGATTTCATTGAGCCTTCAATGCTTGTAAGACCCACATGGTCATCCAACCCTTCCTCATTATGACTAAGAGTCTGAGACTGGTTTGTAGCTGGATGTCAGCAGCTGTCTGAGGCAGTACAGGCTGCAGCTCATGAGTGTGTTATTTGATCTGACTGGAGTGAAGCAGTGATTCAGCCGTAAGCAGAGAACAATGCAATTAACCAAGCTCTGGATTAGCGCTTCATTGCTGCTGTGCAGTTGTAGAGACAGAAAGTGGGAGAGAAAGAGATAATAATGATAGAGTGAGTGGGTGTGGAATGGATGAAAAGAGAAATGGTACGACAGATTTCATAGAGAGATGACTGATACTGTACTTAAAAGGATAGTTTCTTTACTAGTGGCTCCAAACATGCATGACTGACTTTCTACAGTAGCATCAAACACAAAAGGAAATATTAACTGAATGTCCAAGTTATTTCATAAAAAAGAGAGCAGAAAGTCATTTAGGTCTGTGCCAACATCAGGGTGAGTAAATTACAACAACATCTTAAACTGAATGATCTCCTTAAAAGGAAGCACCTCAATTACTAAAACAGTGGCAACAACAATACTGTATGTCTGCCAAAAAGAGGAAGAAATAAAAAAACAGCAATAGTGAGAAAACTAGTGATTTCCTGCATGTTGCAGTTATAACGTGTACAGTATGTGTGTTTGTTGTAAGGTGATCCACAAAATTTGCAGTCAGACTTCCAGCTGTGTGACCGGGTCATACTCGGCAGATGGTGTCTGAAACTGTAGGAAAGGGCATGCTTGTGTATTTGTGTGTGCATACTGCATGTCGCATCCCTTTAATACAGTGTGCATGAATAATGTGTATCTGTTTGTAAGTATAAATGCGCGTCTGTGTTTGTGTGTTGGATGCCTAGAGGTCACTGGAAGCTGAGCTGCTAAAAATAAGCAGAGTGGGTCTGACAGGGGCAGTGTGATTCACAGCCACAGCAGTGCCATGTTTCCTCAACAAAATCACATCTCACAACAGCAAGTGACCCCTGATCTCCCCTTCTCTCTCCCCCTCTCCCCAAATGTCATTTGACCACTATTCAAAGTCTGGGGTCAAAACCAAATTGCACTGGGTAATGCAAAGAGATTTTGTCATGGACAACATAAGCTAAGTTATTAAAGCTGCAGTCCGCAGTTTTTCTTCTTTGTCGCCATCTCTGTTCGAAATCTGCAATTGCAGTTATTCGCGGAATTATAAACTTTATGTGAATTGTACCTCGGCATGGCACAGCGCGGATGAATCCAATGTTTTGAGGAGAATGTGCGTCTGTCAGTCTCCGCGCCGGTGTGGATACTGTCATTCGGCATCACAGATTCTACTTTTTGGAAGTATGACCAACATAAGAATTTTCACCCTAAATTGTCATCTGAACAAGCAAGTAACATCCACCTTTGTTCTGACCAACTAAGGGGAAAAAGCATTGCAGTAAATCGCGCTGATTAAATCTAACGATCATATCACGTCAAACCGTGCAAATTATACTTTGTTGTCAAATTGTTAATGTTAACAATATCAGCATTGCATGACTACATTTAAAGCCCTTCAGATTGTTATCCTTGTTTTCGCATGGGCCTGGTTGCAGTCTCTTTTTTCAAACTCTCAGTCCAAAGTCTTTTGCATTTTACAGCGGGTGAATCTCCAGTTGGTGATTGTCGTTTGAACCTTTCTGGATCCGCAATCAAATTAATAAGTTTAATTATATCAAGTGCTGTGAGAAAAGGCTATAAATCTCCACCTCTAACATCCTCACACGCAATATAGCCTACTAGCCGAGACTCCTTCTTTATGTGTACAGATGTGACGTAATGACGCAAAGACAAGCTTGAATTTCCCGCAGAAATCCACCAGTACCACGGGAATTAAAAACATTATTACAAGCTTACCGTTTTGAATCGAGCTACGGCAAGCAGATAGTTTTGAACACTGGCTGGTTATGTACTTGCTCAAATTTATTTTGGATCATTTTTAACCCAAAAAAGTTACGGACTGGAGCTTTAAGAAGACAGAAATATCTTCATCTACACCATAACAAGGGAAGTTTCCTGAGCAAATTCTGAATTCAAATTATTATAAATGCAATCATTACTACTACTATATTATTATAATATCCATTAACAAAAAGAAAGAAAGAAAGAAAGAAAGAAAGAAAGAAAGAAAGAAAGAAAGAAAGAAAGAAAGAAAGAAAGAAAGAAAGAAAGAAAGAAAGAAAGAAAGAAAGAAAGAAAGAAAGAAAGAAAGAAAGAAAGAAAGAAAGAAAGAAAGAAAGAAAGAAAGAAAGAAGGTAGGACACTTACTTGCAAGGTAGGATGCGGACCACATCGTTTAGCTGATAACCTTCGATGCACACCGCACAATGATTAAAATCTGGTTCTGTTTCCTGAAAAACATGAACAAGACAAATAATAAAGTCAAAATGTAGCTAAAAATGCAATTGTCAACATTAGAAGTAAAATTAGGACACTCCCGTAAGATACATTAGGGCAGCTTTAGGATCATTTGCCAGTCAAACAAGAAAGAGAGTAAATGTTAAAAGGCAGAAACTGATGAAAATGATTGGAAGATAAAATGCAATAAATGACCACTGACAACACTAAAAGAACGCTGTGTGACATGACATACTAAACTGATCAATTATGAATATCTTTCATTTTTAAAATAAATAATTATGTGGGCTGCATTTTTGACCAATGCTACTTAGCACAACAACACAGAAATAGAAACCAAGCGACCATCGCAATGTCCTGCTGCTCGTCACTTGATGGATGTGATCAGCTAAGGACAAAAAAGAAGAAATGTCTTTTTCACCCCTATTCAATATGACTATACAACAACAACAATTTTAAAATAATACTTTTATTGTATTATTATTTAAATGATAAAAATAAAAAACAAATCAATAAAGAAATATAACATACAGAAACAGAACTTTGGGTCCTGTATCCTCCCTACTATTTATACTTAAGCATCACTAGCCCATTATTATTAAATATGCATGCTGGCCTTATGACATGCATTTATGAGAAATGGGTATAAAGTGTGAAATTCTTTTGAACTCTAGGCAATATGCTTTGAGTACCTGCATTTCACTCTATATTGATCTGATCTCTTGACCTCCTCCTTGCGTTCATCTCACCCAGCTATTCTCAAGCTCACCATTTAAGGTTTAGATAATACTTTCATACAGTAGAGAGTGAAACTAAACTAAATTCTTCAAACAGATTAAATTAAAAAAGTCCAACTACAGCAATCTGTGCAGTTACAATAGCAAAATATATATCTTATATATTGTGAGTGCAATACTGTATACAACAGGGCGTACTGCACATAATAGTCTCTTTCTTAACTTCTGGAAGTCCAATCAAACAATAAGTCAAGGCACAAAAAAAGAGCAGTCAATGGTTGGTTATCACTCGCTGAATGAATGAATGAAGTGGTTGTGTGCTGCACATTTTGGCAAATGAGGTAGGCCATCTGGGTATTCCATGAACACCGTAGATCTGCATACCCTGCATCGTACACATACTGCATACTCCATATGAGGTTTGATAGCATGCCATTCTGAACATTCTGACTGTATTTTGTGTCAAATAATTTCCTAACACAGATCCCAAAAATACAGGAATATAAATAGAGTAAAATCAGAAAGTAGTGTGGAAAACATTTCATCAGTGTAGCTCTAGAAACTCATGTCAACTTCCAGAGAAAACTATGGGAAGCTGTAACAGTGTATCCATCTATTTATTGCAGGATGAGTGAGCAGGAGAGAGCAGGAGATCGTTCAGCAGATTTAGTAGATACAATGTGTCAAAGATGCTGTATTTCTCTGGCTCCGCTTTCAGCCCATCTGTCATTTGACTGACCTGTGAGGTCAGTCTGAAGCCGATCTTGACATCACTGAGGAAACATTGCCTACTTGTAGGAGTGACTAGTGATCTGTATTTCTACAAATGGACTTACTAAGCTTCAGGTTATAACAACCCTTTAGTATCAATTAAGAAAAGACAGATTATGACAAAATGATCTAGTATAGTGATGTTTGTGTATCTGCTTATTGTTTTATTTTATTTTAGCGATAAACAGTGTTGTTATCATTAACTAAAACTATTAACAATTGTTTTCATTAATTGAAATAAAATCAAATATAAGAATTAGCTGAAAAACTTAATAATAATAAAAATAAAAAGTGTCCACTTCGCAACTAATGGAAAATTTAAGATGAATTACTAAAATGTAGGGATGTCCCAAGCCGGTCTCAAGGATTGTATAGGGGCCGATTAAGCGTGTTTTTAACTGAGTAGCATCGGCGATCCTAAGAGTTGTACATCAGAGGTCACACAGGTATCATGCACGAAATGCATGTTCGAGCTTCTGTCTGACAGACTGGCATTCTGACACCGTGACCTTCATGCTTTCTAATCTTATCTCCACTTTTTTTCTTTTTGTTGCAATTGTTTTGCTTATACAAATAAAATACAAGAAGTTTAAATCAGTAGTCCCCAGAGGTGGGTAGTAACGAAGTACATTTACTTTGTTACATTTACTTGAGTATTTTTGGGGGAAAATTGTACTTTTAAGAGTAGATTTAAATGTGGGTAATTAATTTTACTTTAACTCGAATATATTTCTAATGAAAAAACTACTTTTACTTTGTTACGTTGGGCGAAGTTCCTCTCGTTACTTTATTTGAATGCAATACATGTTGTTAAATCCGTAGTTTATTCCAAGCGCGCTGTATCTTTTTTCTGGGGCATGAGCGATGCTCAATTCACAAATGAATCACTCTTTTGACTCGATTCTGTTCAAAGACTTCATCAAACAAGTTGGCAGATTGGTCTAAATTGGTTCGCAAATCAGTTTGAACACTCGAGTCGTAACAGGAAGGTTTAAGAGCGTTGGATGAAGTGGCCGTGAACCTACAGTCAAGTGAAAGCAAATCTGCAAATGCATCATATCGTTTGCCAGCGATGAATATCTTTATTAGTTGAACATCTTCGTATGCTGTCTGTGAATGAACGACTCCACAGGACGATACATTCGATTTCATTTCATTCAGGTAATACATTTTACAACCAAACAGATTATTATGCCACAATAGCACTAAGTATGACATTACCAGTTTTTTGGACATATACCCTTAATTTATACATTAAATAAGCTACCATTGTTCATGGTTTATGAAATGAACACCCACCATCCTGCGACCATTTGTGTGTATCACGCAGTGGCGTGTGAAATCGTCTTGAAAACGAATGCCTTTGCCTGCCTTAGACACAGTTAAGCAGTTTAAACATGCTTGCAGAAATATACATTTGATTACATTTTGGAGAACAGACAGAAGAAGATCCGTCGATGTGCATTTGATCGTTGTTTCAGATGTTCAGTGGCGGTCATGAGCGCGAGCACATGTGAAGAGTTTCATGTGAACTCTTTCTTCTCTGTGTCAATGGTTCCCTGCCTGTAAATGCCTTTGAATGCAAAACTCTGCAGATTCACTTTATTTCGACATTGTATCATAGTAACTTATACAACTACATTTGGATTATTAGACAAACCAAAGGACAGGCAATGATTTTCAGGCTACAGATGGTAGAAATAATGCTTGTCTCTTCTGTTTTTGGTTGCAAAGATAGCTATTTATGATAATAATAGTCATTTAAATAAAAAATATCTAAATAATATCATGTTGTATATATATATATATATATATACACACACATACATAGGCCTATTTATGATCCGAAGTAACTAGTAACTAGCTACTTGAGTAGTTTTTTCATTGGATTTTTTTAATTAACTATTTAACTATTAAGATTACCGGTATTACTTTTCCTTTGAGTAAATATTTCTAAGTACTTTTACTTTTACAGTACAGTTTTTGGATACTCTACCCAGTCCCATATTCATAATTGTGACCACAATAACCATTTACTATAGTAATTGTGGAGGTGTAAAGTAAAGTAAAGGTGGAATTACTCTGTAGTGATAGATTCCCTGAGGAACTCTCTGCCCGGCCCTGATTACATTGGATTGATTTTAATAACTTTAATGTGCTTGAAGTGTGCACCAAGCACTAGGAAAATACAAGTATTAGATCGGGACTTGGTATCGGCAAATACTCAATATTCAATGACTCGGATCGGGGCACGAATAAATGTAGTAAGGACGTCCTGATCAAGTTTTTTTTTTATTAAAACCTAAATTAAATAATAAATTAATTAATAAATTAAACCTAAACATTCTAATATCCTAAACTAAATAACTAATAAAAATTACAAAAGCAAATAACAAAATTATTAAAAGGTAAACTAAAAATATCAAAATGAGAGCTAATTCAAAATATTCATAAATACTACAATAGTATATAAATAATACTCTATTATTATCTAATAATAATTGTATTATTTATCAGTATATCATTTAATTAATTCCATAATTTTTTAGGCAATTAACAGCTCTAGTGTATAGTGCTACAATAACTGCTTGTATGATATTCTTACTCTATAATCGAATTCCTGTAAGACTTAGTATTATGAAGTACACCAAAGAGCAGTACAATTTTCAAATACTATTTAGATATTATCATCATAGTATAAATATACCTCTAGTAGCAAGCAACGCATCACTCAGCCAGCTAACTCGACCTCCCTGGGCAATGGGGCCATTTAGAAAGTGACAAAAATCCTCCTAGGTTTTATATCACACTCTGCCTTGTTCTTCCTGGAAGCACCTTCTCTACTCTAGACGCTATTTCCGTCACCTGGCAGTGTCCTGTCTACTCTGCATGGTCAAGGTTATGTTGTGGTGAGTGGTGTTCGGTTTCTAATGGGCCCCTCTTAGCGCAAGAGTCATCGACTGCGGTCCTGCCGGTCCCTGCAGAGGGACTTGGCCAATACTCAGAGGCCGAGAGTCTTCGGCCAAAAGCAGTGAAGCTGTAAAGATGCTTCATCACTGGAAAATGTGTCATAACTGATCGAAAATGTGTATGTGATCAAAAAGGAAAAAGTAGAGAGAGAGAGAGGTAGAGGAAGACTGACAGACGTTCTCTCACTCAATCTCTACTGAGCATGACCTCTCAGATGAAAGGTTTCAATTTCTTGCAGCACTTCTCCAAGGCCACTGATGTTTTATTCATAGGTGATGTTAGCTGACCTTGACTGGGCTATGATATGCACTGACTGGCACGGCTCCACCCCTTCTCCAAACCTAACAGTTGTGAAGTCTCACGGCCCTGACTCGCTCACCTGACAGTCATTCACCTTTACACGGGTCAATGTCTCTTTGGACTGTGGTACAATCAGCAAGATTACTTGCTGAGATGAACCTAACCGGTCAACCACCAATATTAAACGGCCAATTATTGATTAAATTAAGAGCAATCAGTCATAAATATAAAAGAACCAATACTATCAACCAAAGGTTTATGACGCATAATATTATGCAAGCGATGATGCATTTACTGTGCTTTAGTTTTTGTTATCCCTAGTCACATTACATAAAAGCAGTGCTGTTTGTTTGGATGTAAACTGAAACATGGATTTCAACAGTTTAACCTGTTCTGAGTTTGCCTTTTCTGATGTAATAATAGTGATCAGATGCATATCATCATCCAGCAATTTCCAGGCGTCGTGTTCTGTTTATGCTCTTCAGACGTCTGCTTTTAAACAGCATGCACTCTGGACTGTAATGTATGGGTTGTTGCTAGACTGCAAGACTGGTGGGAGAAACTTGGACTTTAACTTCCACTTAAAGTAAATGTGGTTGTAACTACTTGTATTTTTCACGAATTCATTTAGTTCTCGAATGCAGCTGTAAATAACCAAGATGTGTGCGTAAAGAATGTGACTAAGCACTTGGAAGAAGAGTGGCAACCATATTTAGCTGTAGTGTGTACGTGTCCAGTGAGTCGTTTTTCGAGTATGGAGATGCATTATGAATGGAGAATTACACAAACTGTTCCATAACAGGAAACGGTTCCATAACAGGCATGGACATGAGCCTGAGAAAAATAAACAAGCAATGACATCAAAAGACCTCACCTTGTCCCCTCTTTTTACTGTCCTGGTAGTCAGCTTGCTAATGGCCTTCTTGGCAGCATCTCCCAGCCGTCGCTATAGTAACAAAGGACGAGAGGAGAGAGTAAGTCAAATAATTTTAGATTCGCAGCTTGATTTAACGAAACAGGAAATTAAAATGACTAAAAAGAGTTAGGGAATAAAAGACTCAAGAACAGCAGAAAAAAAATATTACATTTCAGATTTTGATAAACAAGGTAGGGGTAAATAATAATGAGGAGAAAGCATTAGCGATATTATTTGTGATAAAAGCAACATATCTGAGTGTCTATCAGGATTGTATTAAGCAAGGCAGAGTTAGCGAAAGGCATGCCAGAGACGGCCATAAATAAAAGACTAAGTGCAGCTTGTGATAGGCAGTTCATTGTCTGTGTGTGTTTATAAGTGTATGTTCTGAGATGTCCTCAGTCTTCATTCTGCCAGTTTATTGCTAAATAAACAGCTCTGGCATTTTCTGTAAACTGTCGACAGTAAATCACTAAGGACCAACCAGGGCCCAAAGGATTAGCGCTAACTAAACCGTTTGTGTGTGCTATATTTGCAAAGGCCTCAAAATGTTCTCACAAATACAGACATAAACAAACCACTTAAAATTGACTCATCATGAGGATGGTCTTCACAAGTACGGTTCATAAAATGGCCAAATTATGTTTTAATTAAAGTTTAAAAATGCCAAAGGGGTTAGGGTCAGTCTGCACTAATTATAATTAGCTCAATTAAAGAACAAGTCAAAGATGTGTTTGCAATTACATTTATGCTAAATTCAAAACACTAAAATGACCTGCTAATCAGCTAAATACATTTACACTACCTTTCAAAAGTTTGGGGTCGTTACATTTTTTTTCTGATATTTTTGAAAGAAATCTATTTTGCTCACCAAAGATGCATTTATTTAAAGGTGGGGTATGTGATTTTCTTTTTTGACCATTTTTTCGAAATCACTTGAAATCCTATTCCTAACCCACTTACAGCCACTGAGTTAGAAGCACTGAAATGAAAATTAAGCAATTTAATAATCTGTGGAACGGGCAGGACTCGAAAAACTCCAGCCAATCATTTCCAAGACCACCTAGAATCATTGGACAGTCGGTGCGTCAATCAAACGGTCGTACCATACCCCCCACCTCCCATCCCCCTCACGCTCGTGTGTCCCCTTCGTGCGCATACTCAAAGCTAAGTGCAAGTCGCACCGGTACAGAGAGAGAGAGAGAGAGTAAGTGCAATCTCGCGCATCTGAGTTTTGCAGATGCATGATTGCGCGTCCATGTTATTCGAATGGATGGAGTCAGGGCCAGCGTTGGAGGAAAGAAGGTAGGACCTTTTGAGTTGTGTATTTTCAAAATCTGCTGCCCGTTTTGCAAATCCCATACCCTACCTTTAATATTGTGAAATATTATTACAATAACCATTTTCTATTTGAATATATTTTCAAATGTAATTTTTTCCTGTGATGGCAAAATATTCACATGAAGAGCACATGTGTTTTTCATGATCACATGATCCTTCAGAATTCATTCTAATATGCTGATTAGGGCGAAAGGAACATTTCTTCTTATTATCAATGTTGAAACCAGTTGTTCTGTTTAATATTTTGTTTTTAGTTTTAATTCTACAATTATTAGATGAATAGAAGGTTAAGCATTTATTTGAAATAGAAAAGTTTTATAATATTATAAATGTCTTTTACTGTCACTTTTAGTCAATGTATAGCATTCATGCTGAATAAAAGTATTAATTCATTTTTTAAAAATGTTTCTGCCCTCCAACTTTTGAACAGCAGTGTACTGTAATTTTACATCAAAATGCTAATAACTATCATAAGTCAGCTTAAAGGGATAGTTCACTTTGAAATAAATTTTTGGTATGTTTTAGCTTACCTCAAGGGCATCCAAGATGTAGGTGTCTTTGTTTCCGCAGTAGTTTCAATTTTGATATTTTTAGGTCAAACCGTTCTTGTCTGTCAGTCATATAATGCAGGTCTATGGTAACTTCCTCAAAGAGCATGCACAGAGAAGTCCAAATTAAACATGATTTAATGACTCGTAAATGTAAGTACACATTGATGGCCTAAGACACGAAACGAGCAGTTTCTGTGAGAAAACGTACAGTATTTATATCGTTTTTACCTCTTGTAATGCACAGACCGAAGCGCCCGCGCCCTCAGATCACTTGGACGTGGCTGTGATTACAAGAGGTAAAAAACGATATAAATACTGTTCGTTTTCTCACACAAACCGCTCGTGTCTTAGGCCATAAATGTGTACTTACATTTCCGAGTAATTAAATCATGTTTAATTTGGACTTCTCTGTGCATGGTCTTTGAGGTGGTGACCATAGACCTGCATTATATGACTGACAGACAAGAACGGTTTGCCCTAAAAATATCAAAATTGAAACTACTGCCGAAACAAAGACACCTACATCTTGGATGCCCTTGAGGTAAGCTAAAACATACCAAAAATTAATTTCAAAGTGAACTATCCCTTTAATACACAACAAAACTATGTTTACATTAGATTTTGAAATTGTCTTATTTTTTTTATTTTTTTTTTTCATCATATCATTAAAGGAGCCGTATGTAAGATTGTGGCCAAAACTGGTACTGCAATCACTGTCAAATGACTGTAGAGCGGTGTATCCCCTCCCCCTCCCCCCTGACTCAAGGTTGCCAGATAGACTGCAGGATCCAGCAGGAACGTAGGCTGCTACAAGACGTGGTAACTAGAGCAGAGCTGGCAACCCGGATGCAGCAACACTACTGACTTCGTGATTGGTAGATAGGTGGAGGGTGGAGCATCAGACCAAAACACAACATGACAACATCAACATCAGTTGAGGGCTGCAACTTCACTTTTTAAATGACAATATCCTGGCCGGACTACTGTTGTCAGTGATATAAGTATTTGTAGTGAACATGATTTCTTAATGTCTAGTGACATATCAGGGCCATTTTATGATTAATTGAAATAAATTTCTTACATACAGCTCCTTTAACATGTATTTACAAAACATTTGCACAATGAATAAGCCATAATCATGTGTTCAGAGCAAACTTTTCCATTTCCCCTATATAATCAATGCAGTTTAAGTAACCATAAACATTGTCAAGTTATTAAGCATAATCTGTACAAGGCCTTGCATGTAAATGCACTGTTTTTACTTAACTCCTCTACAGTATAAACAATACATTTTATAATGTAATGTGTATTGTGTAGAGATCTCTTTGCATTTATTGTAACTGTGTCTACTTTTTCAAATCTAGGTGGTGACTAAGAGATTCAGATTTTACATATTTCAACTTATATATATATATATATATATATATATATATATATATATATATATATATATATATATATATATATATATATATATATATATATATATATATATATATATATATATATATATATATATATATATATATATATATATATATATATATAAATAAAATGAATACCAGCAGCTGTTATTACCACATTATTATAACCTGTTTATGTCAGTAGTGAATTCAGAGGTCTGGTAAAAGCAAAAGGGCAGTGAGACAAATACTACAGTGGAGAAATAAGGTCGGTCACACACACACTGAGCTAGGAAGGATGGGCCATTTACTACTATCTTTGAGCACATGGGAAGTTCTTGAAGGTCAGATAAGCCTGTTAAATATCAGGGGGGCCTTTGAAAGAAAAATCTGGCAAGGTTTTAGCTGCAAGCTTGATGGTGAGACTGGGTTTGTGTGTGTTTTGTTCAAAGGAACTGTGTGTTGTTTAAGACCTGACTGCGGTCCCTTGCGCTGGTGTCTCTGATCTTCTGGATGAAGTAGAATATTAGCCAAGCAGACGAGATAATCATCAGTACAATGAAGGAGATGGAGACGAACACCAAGGAGCCGCGGTTGATGTTTTTAGGCAGCCCTCGTGACCCCACCATCACGGAGACCAGCACAGTCTGGTTCTTCTCCAGGAATCCCAGAATTTCCTTTCCAAAGGACTCAGTAATCATCACTGCCACTATGTCTCCAGTGCCTTTGGAGAAAGAACTTATATAAGAACATTTTGTGATAAAAAAAAAAGAAAAAAAAGAAGATGATACAAATATACAAGGCTCCATTCAAACATAACATTTTACAAGAAAGATACACAATCCATTCCAGGTTGCACCAGATTTATTTATTATTATTTTGTTATCTTTTCAGAGCATATCAAAACATCTCACACAGATGCACTGATCTTGTCCAATTCAGTGTAATGCTCCTGGTCTGACCTATTAAACATTCACACAAATGGCACAGTAATCATGCCAACAGAAAATGAGGACAAACAAACACTTCGTCAGTTCGTTCGTTCGTCCGTCCATCCCCCCCCCCCCCCAATCTGGAGCTTAGGCCATTCCACAGATATAATTCAGGCCCTCAGGCTTAGCAATAATAAGGTTAGAACAGTACGAATGGAAACCTATTGCAGACCTGCCCTAGTCAGTGATCTAATCTCACCATATTCTGCACTTGAACTGCCCCATAACAAATGCGATGACATATAGCATCACATAACTATTACGATGATAGAATATGTTTAGGCAAACGTGACAAGACAGTATGTTATTTTTTTTACCATAGCCTGATGGCACAAACTTGAAATACAAACTATTTTGAGAGATAGTTAGAGAGATTTGTGAGATAGACAGACTGTAGCAACATGTTTTTGAAGGAACCACATGGAGCTGTTGTTTCTTAAAGCATTAAGATGAAAGCATAGTGAAACAAATCTCATAATTCCTAAAAGCTTGGCAGAGGTTGGCAACTTTATTTGTGCTAAATATGAGAATGTATATAATTAAATTGATTTCTGGGTCACTTATTAAATGCAAGCAAATTTGAGATATTGACTGCAGGGTTCCAGACTGCGACCATTTTTTGAGAATGTGCGAGTTAAAATTTTAGAACGCCGTTGTATCAGCAGCTGCTGCAGACCGTATGTTCAAAATGAACGAGTACATCATGAATCCATTTTCCAAACCGTGTTTTTGACTTATCCTGAATCACTACGGTACGCCTATAATAAGTGTTTATATTCTGACTATTTTATCCCGGGGTTGGCTCGGCTGCGGAGTTGCCCAGTGCCTGCGTGACTCGCCATAGACATTAACGGAGAGAAGTAGCTCCGGCTACAATGTTCTTCCGCAAGACACTTGCAGTTTATTTATTAACGAACGTACACATCACGCTCATTGCACACTGATGGAGAAACGTGCCAATTAGGAATTAAGTCATAATAAGTGTAAGTTAAATGTACAGTGTACGACATGTAAAAAAGACAAGAGGCTAACAATGTCAAGATCAATATTTGTGTAGCCTGCCTGACACGGTATTTTCACACTGCATCTGTTCCAGGAGCGGTGCGTAGCAGTGCAGAGATCGTTTACACACCGAGTCTATTTTTTGCTGTGCTGCACGCGCTGAATTAAAGTGACAGCGCATAGTTCGTGGTCAAAATGAGCACAAATTGACATGACAATGAATCTCACCATAAATGCATTTAATTAAATACTACTATTTTTCACAGTCATCTTTTTACTTTTAACTTTTTAATAGTTTTTTTGAGAATATTTTGATTTGATAGTTAAAAGATTAAAACATTTTGCTAACATGAGGTCTTGTGTCACTGATTAATCCCATGGTATGTAAAAAAAAAAAAGAAAAAAAAAAGGTGCGACCAAATCATATGCTGCTGCGACCAACTGAGAAAGTTGGAAAAGTTAGTCTGGAGCCCTGTATTGACCACAAACGATGCATTTGGACAATGTGTCTCATTCACTTATATTTGCATGGATTTTTTTGTATTTGTATGCACAGGAAAACTTACTCACATTACTCCGCCTAATTCACAACACGTTCGTACGCACATGAATTTGTTCTTAACATTGTTCTGATGTTAGTGAATTTGGAGTATTCTCATTGAGCGGCTGCGTGCACAAGGTTAGTTATTTGCACAAAACTCGCCCAAACCATCTCTATATCATTATTTCATTACAGCCTTTCGTAACTATCGTCAAACTTGCCACTGTTTGCAGACGTGCTCTCGCCCGATCCTCGAGCAATGCAAAGAGTGCCATTCTCACAATAAACACCTTTTATACAGACCTCTCATTAGCCAGCTGTACACACATATATCTGAAGCTATAACGCAGCTTTTCTTACTTTTAAGAAAAATATGATAAAATGTATTTAAGATGAAATTAAATTGTATAATTGTATAATTTTATATATGGATTATATAGTACAATTAATGCAACATACTTCAATATAATTACAGTCAGTGATGGTGAACGGGGTCATTCATTACAAAGTACCCACCCATATCAACTGCGAACCCAACTTATGCTATTTATTTATGAAAAAAAAAAAGTATCACAGTCAGGACAGATCACAAAACAGTGAAAAATCCATAAATTTATATATAAAAAGTTACTGAGTGACTGATTTGAAAAGTTAGTATTAAAATGAACAGCAAAGTAACACATTTTAGAAAAAGTGGCAGGTCTATTATTTTGCATTTACACTCCAAGACTTAATGCACAGATCGTTTGACATACATCATCATATTTGTTTCATCCATTGCTATGGTTATCACTGTCTCAATCGGATTCAATCCCGCTTAAATACGGTTGTCAATCCAGAAACTTTGCAATGTGTAGCAGCATGAAAAACATATTATACACAGAAAGAAGGCAAAGATTGTTGTCATTACAATCACCGAAGCTGTCTAATACTTCAGTTCAACGTGATATACACAAGCTGCACTCTTGCCAAAACTCCCCTTATAATCAATGAAGCCGTCTACGCTGTGCAATGTATTACTTATTGACACCGTGTTTATACTTTGTTGGCTATAATGAAAGGATTCGCGAGCATGCAGATTCTGACTAACAAACACATTTGATTGGCCAGAGTTCACATGCTCAACAGATATGTCTGTGATTGATTACAAAACTCAACACTGCAAAAACACATCGTAAATAGAAACCTTTGATGATTCACAGAGCAATTACACGTAGACTCACGGGAGCGTGTTAAAGCAGACTGCTGTCATCAGGTATCGGTACTGCAGAATGGCAGATATCGTCACAATAAATGATCAAATAAATCTTTGGCCAGACAAAAATTCCTTTTGGCGTCCGTCAAAATATTTTGAATGCAGGAAAACCCCCGCAAAGGGGATCATTAAAAAAACAAATACTAATGCTGTCATTAAAACAAATACTAATACATTCTGAAATCAAAATGTTTCAATTCAACTTTTCACTAATAAAACATTATTCAATTATTAACTGAATGTTATTTATTAAAATAGAATTAGAATAGAATAGAATTAGAAATGAAAGCAAAACAGAAGCATTTTTTTTTACTAGTGGCCGGACTTTTGGACTGACTTTTCAGTAAATCTAGAATAAAACCACTGTTTTATAATAAACATTTGGAACAACAATCCATTTAATCCATATAATACACATTTTAGTATTATATAAGCCACCCTGCTTTCTACTTATATGTGTCCAATAACAAACAATGCTTAATACTACTTACCTAAAATAAATACTCTGCAAATAATAAATGTTCACTAAATCCAGTTTATTAAGAGTTCTAGTGGATTAATATTTAACTGTAGTATAAGGCCAAAGGGTGAACAGGCATGCATTTGCTATGGAAGCAATCAAGGGTACATTATCCCTAGTGTATAAAAACGGCTGCATCTTACAGCCAAATCCTGAATGTCTTAAGAGTGTGAGAAAGGAGTCTGGATGTCAGAGAATGTCCGTGTGAATGTGGCTGCTTGTGTGTGTGACATTATGTGCGTTATCTTGCATAAACAAACGTTTACTTATGCGGTCTACCTGTTGGTGTGATTTTGTATAGATTTTTGAACACATTGGTGTATGTGAGCGCTTGTATGTGTTTGTAAGCATGTGAGAATGAGACATGACTGGCATGCTGCCTGGCTCAGAAGGCAGTTTGTCAGCAGTAAAGATGATGTCTAGGGCAGGACAGGGACAATTTGCTCTAGCAGTGACTGATAGAAAAGCTCCGATCCACTTCAAGGCCATTTTTTTCCATAAATGGCATACAAACCAACAGATGTATATCATTATACATAACTCACTTCCACAGGCACAGTCTGTTAGACATAGTACTTACAGTATTATCAAACTAAATATGATAAGCTATAATAATAATAATAATATCATTATCAGATATGATTCCCATAGAATCAGCCAAAGATTAAAGCTGTAGTCCGTAGCTTTTTTGGGGTTACAAATTATCCAAAATACATATTTGAAAAAATACATAACCAGCCAGTGTTCAAAACTATCTGCTGGCCGTAGCTCGATTCAAAGCGGTAAGCTTGTAATAATGTTTTTAATTCCAGTGGTACTGGTGGATTTCCTTGGGAGATTCGAGCTTGTCGATTGTCATTACGTCACATCTGTACACATAAAGAAGGAGTCTCGGCTAGTAGGCTATATTGCGTGTGAGGATGTTGGAGGTGGAGATTTATAGCCTTTTCTCACAGCACTTGATATAATTAAACTTATTAATTTGATGGCGGTGACAACTGGAGATTCACCCACTGTAAAATACAAAAGACTTCGTTCGGACTTCGGAGTGGCTTACGTTATAGAAAAAAAGAGACTGCAACCGGACCCATGCGAAAACAAGGATAAAAATCGGAAGGACATTACATGTAGTCACGCAATGCTGACGTTGGTTGTTAACATTAACAATTTGAGAACAAAGTATAATTTGCACGGTTTTGCGTGATATGATAAGGCCATCCTTAAAAATATTCTTGTTTGCCGTAACCCGACCGACCCTGTCAAATTAGGACCGACCCAATTATAATTTTTTTTTCCCTTTTAGTCCGACCGACTTGCCGGTTGTAAACTTGCATTAAGACCGACCGATTTTTTTTACTCTTCAAACAACTAATACAAATGCAATAAAATAATATAAATTATATTATAGTAAGTA